AGGGGGAAGGCCGTGCCTGGGTTTCATGCTGGGAGAGCTGGAAGATCTCCCTGGCCAGCGGCAGCGTCCGGGAGTCCAGGACGAAGAACAGGATCTGCATCAGCCCCAGCATTCCCGTCCCACGCAGGTCGGTCCCAGGATCCACACCTGGGGGGGCAGGGACAGCATGGAGTCATTCCCTGCCACCTTCCCCTTCCATGGACTGTTGATTCCCTGTCACTGCACTCCCAGGGTACAAGGATCCCGGGGATTCCCTTTCTGGAGGGAAAGCTTCCAGGGAATTTCCCTAATGGGGCCACCACCTCACTCACCTGGGCATTAACTAACCCTGCTCCCCCTGCTACGCTCCTGTTCCCACACTTTTCCAAGAATTACGAGCTTTTTTAGGCACATGGTACTGGGATAACCTGGCCAAGCAGTCCAGTTGTACTGGGGCCAGTTTGACTTAGTATCTTTATGGATAAAGGGATTGAGGGTGCCCTTGGGAATTTTGCAGGCATATGGAGAGGAGTGTAAGGACTGGGGCGAGGCTGCACCTCAAATCCTGGATCAATTTTGGGGTCCAAGAAGGACACTGAAGTGCTGGAGCGTGTCCAGGGAAGGGCCATGGAGATGGGGCTGGAGCACAGGGAGCGCTTAAAGGGAGCTGGGAGAGGACAGAGCTGCTCCAGGGGAGGTTTGGGTGGAGTCTGGGAATGGTTGCCAGTCGTACCCTGGAATCCCAGCTCCTCCCAGTGTGTCCCATAGCGGGGGCAGCCCCGGCGGGAACGCGTCAGCTGCCGGTAGATGGTCTGGAGGATCCGCATGTGCACCCGCTCCGAGTCATCCAGGGCGCCTGGCAGGAGGGAGGGAGGGGCACCCGGGGGGGAGGGAATGCCCCGTGTGGCTAAAAACACCCCCCAGCACCCAAAACCACTCCTCAGAACCCCAAAAACACCCCCCCATGACCCTAAAACGCCCCTCAGCGCCTCCATCAACAGCATATCCTCCAAAAACCCACCCCAGAGCCCCAAAACACCCCATGGCACCTTAAAAATCCCCACAGCTCCCCAAGAGATGCCCCTTGGCTCCCAAAAGACACCCCTTGGCTACCCAAAACCCAGCCCTCGGCACCCAACAGATGCATCCTGGCACCCAAACAACACCCTGTGGCACCTAAAAACATCCTCTGGTGCCCAAAAAACACCCCCTGACGCCCTAAGAAATCCCACAGTGCCCCAGAAATGCCCTTTGGAACCCAAAACCCAACCACAGGCCCCTCAAAAATGCCCCACGGCACCTAAAAAATATCACTTGGCACCTCCAAAACCCCGTTGGTGCCCTAAAAAGGCCCCTCTCAGCCCCCAAACCCACAGTCCCGGGGTTTCCCTGTGTGTGCCCCCCTGGCTGGGCAGACACAACCCCCCCATGGCGAGGGATGGGGGGATTCCCATCCCATCCCATCCCATCCCATCCCATCCCATCCCATCCCATCCCATCCCATCCCACCCCATCCATCCAGGGACTGAGGGACAGGAAGGGCTGTGGGGCCGGGGAGATCCCGCATAGGGGGGGTGGGGAGCTGTGCCCATGGGGAATGGGCAGGGGATGAGATCCAGCGCTCCCTGGAGCTGGGAGCAGGGGGGATCCGGGCTCACTCACACTGTGCCATGGCCAGCACCAGCTCCTGCTCCCCCCGCAGCTGTGGCCGGAGCCGGGGGGGCCCCCCGAGGCAGCGCAGCAGGACGGCCAGGCCCCCCCGGCGCCCCGGCCCCCGCGCCTTCCTCTGCAGGAGAGACCCCAGACCCATCAGGGCCGAGCCCTCGGGGGGGCAGGGGGGCTGGGAATCCCCCAGTCCTGATCCCTGCCCCACCCCAGGGGCCGTACCCGGCTCTGGGGCAGCCCCGAGCTCTGGAAGTGCTGAAGCGCCTCCGCGAAGGAGATTGGGGGAGGGGGCACAGGAGAGGTGCCCCCCAGCCCTGCAGGGAGAAAGGGAGGGGGTTAGACCCCCCCCAGGGACCCCTGTTCCCCCCAATGACCCCTGTTCCCCCTGAGGGACCCCTGAACGCCCAGTGACCTCCCCCGAGTGGCCCCCAGGAGGATGGAGCCATGGAGAGCAGGGGCAAAACACTCTCCACACTCCCCTCCACCCCCAAATAACCCCCCCAGGTGCTCCCCCACCCATCCTGCCCTCCGGGATCCAGGTCATTCCCTCCTTTCCAGACCTCTCCAGCTCCCAGTACCTGACTGGATCTCTTCCAGAGCCTCCCACTCCTCCTGGGCCCGGCGCTGCTCCTCGCTGATCTCTGCCCAAGGGGAGGGGCACAAGGGTCAGATCCGGGTGGGAGTCACGGGATGGGGGGGATTTGCTCCCTTCCCCCAATACCCCCCCAGCACATCCTGGAGCTGGATTTCCCCTTTTCCAGGGAAAATCCCAACTGCAGGGTTTATCTTGGGTGGTCTTGGGGAACAAGCCGGGACCAGATGGATTTGATTGAGGCCTCCCTGCTGGATCCCTGCGGTCCCTCCCAGCCCCCCAGGTGACCTTCCCACCAGAAAACACCGGGATTGATCAAGAGAAGCAGGAGAAGCTCACCAGGGGTCGAGCACTGCCCCGCTCCAAGCACCAGTGCCTGCAGGACCCCATCCTGCCCCAGAGCCGGGAGCTGGGGGGGAGAGAGGAAACCACAGTGTGACCCCCGAGACAGACCCCAAAAACCAACCGACCTCAAAAACCAACCGACCCCAAAAACCAACCGACCCCAAACCGCGAGGATTTCCCCGCGGGAACCGCCCCTGTGCCCCACTGGCAGGTGGCTCAGGCCCCTCTGGAAGGGGGTTTCGGGGGGGCAGTTGTGCCCCCCAGATGATTTTATACGGACAGAATGAAGCGGTGAGGGGGAATGGGCGACCGGGCCCCCTGAGGTGCGGGGGCTCCCCGGGGCTCGGCCGGGGGGGCTCTGGCCGGACACGCACGGGCAGGGACTTGCCGGGGGAAACACGCGCGGCCGCTGCTCCAGGGCCCCGGCACCGCTCATGGCCTGCGGGAGGAGAGCGGGGCGGAGATCAGAGCTGGGGAGGAGGGTCCTGGAGACTGACACCCCCCAGGAGACCCCCCTGGAGACTGACACCCCCCAGGACACCCCCCTGGAGACTGACACCCCCCAGGACCACCCTGGCCCACTCAGGACCCCCCCAGCCCCTCACGGGCACCCTCAGGAGTCTCCTCTGGCCTCTCAGTGCTCCCCCTGCAGCCCCTCAGGAGCCCCCTCGGGTCCCTCCTAGTCCCCCCAAATCCCCTCCCAGCCCTTCAGAAGCGCCCCCGGGTCCCTCCCAGCCCCTCAGGAGCCCCCTCCACGTCCCTCAAACACCCTCAGAGCCCCCCAAAGCCCCTCCCGCTGGTTCCGTTCCCGCCCTGACCCCGCGGGGCCCCTCCCGGCCCGGTGCCGTCACAGTGCGCAGCCGCGGCCGCGCTGCACGCCGGGAGTTGGAGTCCGCGCCGCGGCCCCCTGGGAGAGCCACGGGACTACAACTCCCGGCGTGCCCCGCGCGGGGGCGGTGACGGGGGCGCGCGAGGGTCAGAGAGGGGCGAGGCCAGAGGGCGGGGTTACGGAGGGGGCGGGGCTAAGAGCGAGGGGCGGGGATTGGGGAAATGGGGCGGGGCTACAGGGAGCGAGGGCGACCACTCCCGGAGACCAGTGCCCAGTGCCAGTCCCAGCTCCCAGCGCCAGTCCCAGCTCCCAGTATCCCACTACCAGTTCCCAGTGTCAGGTCCCAGTGCCCACTTGCCATGTCCCAGTGCCCAGTGCCAGTTCTCAGACCCAGCTCCCAGTGCCCTGTGACAGCTCCAAGTGACTCCGTGACTCCGTATCCCAGTAGTGCTGCCTCCCAGTGCCCAGTGCCTAGTGCCTGCATCCTGCTTGCAGCTCCCAGTGCCCCGTGACAGCTCCCAGTGCCAGCTCCCAGTGCCAGCTCCCAGTGCCAGCTCCCAGTGCCCAGTGCCTGCGTCTCGCTTGCAGCTCCCAGTGTCCCATGACAGCTCCCAGTGCCAGCTCCCAGTGCCAGCTCCCAGCGGCCACTGCCTGCTTCATGATTCCAGCTCCCGGAATCCCCGTGCCCGCCCCCAGTGCCCAGTCCCGTGACTCGGTGCCAGCTCCCAGTTCCCAGTGCCAACCTCCGCCCCTCCCGCGGTCCTCCCGCCCATCGCCGGTGCCTCTCCCCTTTTCGCCGTCTTTTTCGCCCTTGCCGTTCCCTCGCCCCGGTTATTCCTGTCCCCGCCGTTCCCGGCTCCCGCTCCGCCGGACGGCGCAGCAACATGTGGCTGCAGGCGATGCTCTATCTCGTCCCCCTCCTTCTCCTCGTCTTCTTCCTCCTCTTCTTCATCCCGGTCCTCTTCTTCCTGTTCCCTCAACTCTCGGGCGGCCCCAACCCCTTCGCCGCCGACAGCCGCCGTCCGCCGGGGCCGCTCGTCACCGACAAGGCTGTGCGGAGGACCGTCGTCAAGACAGGTACGGGACCCCCGGCAGGCACCGACCCCAGGCACAGCACTGGCCCCTCAGGGCGGGGTCACCCACTGGGGTGGCGTTAATCGTCCCGGCATTGCCCCTGGAGCGGAATCACCCCCCGGGCTGTCACGGCCCCCCCAAGGGCAGCACTGGCTCCCCCAGGGTGGCATCTCCACCTGGGGCAGCATCAACAACACAGGGCGGCATTGTCCCTCACCCCGGGTGGCATCAGCCCCCCCTTGTCAGTCTAAAACCACCCGGGGTGGCATTGTCCCTCCCCCATGTGGAGTCCCCCCCCGGGTCAGTATGGCCCCCCCAGGGTGACATTGTCCCCCCCCGGGTGGGGTCAGTCTGAAGGCCCCCAAGATGTCACTGTCCCCCCAGCGTCGCAGTCACCCCCCTGTTAGTGTGACCCCCCCCGAGGGTGACACCCCCCAGCCTGGCACCATCCCCTGGGTGCCACCCCCTCGCCGCGGTTTCGGGGGTGCCCCCCCCGTTGACCCCCCCCTCTCCCCGCAGTGTTCTCGGCGGACAAGGTGCCCCCCCAGCTCGATGCCATCGTGGTGGGCAGCGGTGTGGGGGGCCTGGCGGCAGCCGCGCTCCTGGCCAAGGCCGGCCGGAGGGTGCTGGTGCTGGAGCAGCACGGGAAGCTGGGGGGCTGCTGCCACACCTTCACCGAGAAGGGCTTCGAGTTCGACACCGGTACGATTTGGGGCCCCAGAATTCCCCCCCTGGATCCGAAGGAGGGGGCTGGGACACACTCGGGGTGGGAATTGCACCCATCGGGCGTCAGGTCAGGGGGCCCCAGCACCCACCCTGTGTTAGACGAGGCTGCTCTTCAACCCAAAATTCTCTGGCTGAAAGGCACCAACCCCCCCTGAATTCCCCATATCCAGCCCCTATGGAACTCTCAGCACCAGGAATATCGCCTTAGGACAAACTTGGCACCTCCTTGGAAAACTCCACAGCAACACAAAGTCCAGCTCTGTGTATCCCCGGAGCTCCAGGATTAATTATTTCCAGCAGGAATGAAAAATCGCAGTGTGTAACAAAATTCCCCGTTAAAAACACCATGGCAAGTAACATTCACCCCAAGTGGGAGGCAGGTGTATCCCAGATTTTCCTTGTCCCTTCCATAGGGAGCTGTTGAGCTGGGAGTGGAAAAATAAGAGGAGAGTCCTATACATCCCAGGGTGGAAAAAAACAGGAAAAATACCAATATGTAACAAAATTCCCCAGATTCCCAAATAAAAATGTGATGGTGAGAACTGTTCACCCCAAGTGGGAGATGTGTGTATCCCAGATTTTACCTTTCCCTTCCACATGGAGCTGATGGGGAGGGGATGGATAAATAAGAGGTGTGTTCGGTGCATCCTGGGGTGGGAAAATAAAGGGGAAAAAAAAGGAAAAAT